GCTGGTTTTGCTGTCGTCAATGCCGACAATCAGGTCATCGCCCATGGCCCTGTCGCTCATTGGTCATTGACTAGTTACACTGCCGAACTTTGGGCCCTAATACATGCGTTCACTTATGCTAGTGGTCCTGTTCACGTGCGAAGTGACTGCAAAACTTTAGTTGATCAAGTTTCTTGGATGTGCACCAATCAGCAAGTGCAACCCCAATGGCCTCACCTTTCCTGGTGGAACTTTTTGTTTGCTCTTGTGTTGGAACGCCAACAGGTTGCCCCACAACCGCTTCGTGTTGACTGGATTCCTGCGCACCTGTTGGAGCATATCCCAGAACACCTAATAGACGATGATATGGCACGAGCCAATGGCTCCACCGTTCGAGATATCCACCACAATAGGACGGCCGACCATGCCGCAAAAAAGAGCTGCGCTAGCAAATGCTGCAATCCAGCACCAGCTCTACCCAGAGGTTTGTAGTGCTGTTCTTCAACGTCAGGAGTGGTTGACACGCCTTTGCATGATGTTGGGGCAGGAGGTCTCCAAAGAGATTCATGAAACGGATGATGAAAGACTTGAGGAAACTCTTACACCTGAAGCGCAATTTCCCAACCTCCAATGGCATGCTGATCCGACATGCTTTTCTTGGAAATTTGAACACGAATGGCCCTCGGTACCCGAGAAATGGCCCTTTGCTGTTGAAGACTGGGCGAATTTCGGAACCTTCATTAAAGCACTACAGTGGTCATGCCAAGCTGACATGAGAGTTTCTTTTACGGAGCTTGCTGTCCTTTTTGTGCATTTTGGGACACCATGTACACAACTGGCTGATGAACACTGTACGTTCCAAGCTTTGGCGAAATGGTTAAAATCGTCCTTTGCCTTCTGTCGCCGACAGCTTGCAAGGTCTATCACGCCGGGCAAATATGAACCTCACATTGCCCATACATGGGGCAAATCCATGCCACCAGGGACACTGTGTGGTTGTCGACCCTTTTTCTCGGACGATGCACTTCATTTGCTCACAAAAGTGTCCCGAAAAGTCACAGGGGCGGCAATGAGCGCCTGGGCCTTTCCTGTTGGTGAGTTTAGGTAGTTTTCTCATCCTTGCATGTTCAGTGGACGTTTTCGTTTAGCGCTCCAGTAGAATGCTGGCGCTACAGGCCACCTCAATGGAGGGGATTCCGACCGTGGCCGCGAGAGGTAGAAGAGGTTTGACAATCCATGTTTGTTTTTGTTTTCATTAAGAGCCTACATTGGACTCATCCTGTTAAGATCTGTCCAGTGCACAGCCTGCACAGCCTGCACAGCCTTCTGGCTAGTCGTGCAGCTTCACGCCTTGAAAGTGACTCTCCAAATTCAACCCACCACGGGACCACGCACCACTTCCTCCAAAAAGCCCCTCCTCCCTAAGAATCTGGGCCCGAAGCAATGGGAACTGGGAAGGGTCGACCTGAAGGTAGGGCCCAAGGATTCTTAGGGCTGAACAAAAAACGACTGTTTGTCTCTCTCTCTCTCTACCTCCCTCAGCATGCCCATGAAAAGCACCCCCATACCGCGGAACAAAACATCACTGGAACTCTTTGCCACCGGACCCCCCGCCAACTCCCCCAACTCCCGTTCACCCCCACGCTGACCCCATACCCCCACCGGACCTCCCAGTTACATCTGCGCTGCGCAGGTTACATCTGCGACACCTTGCGCACGGACTCCTTGTCGCTCTGGGGCGGCGATTTGCGCGTGCAGAACTTCGAGCTCCGCACCGACGAGTTGGCGCGAGCCGCCCGATCGAGTTGCTACGGCCGTCGGGACGGAGAGGGGCGGTCGTGGCGGAGAGGGAGGAGAGTGGTCGTGGAAGTCCAAACCCAGTGGATCCCAAGGCAAACCACTAAGGAACCAGGGAGAACCAGGGATAACCGTTGGGTCGGTTTTGGTCGAACTGGAAGCACTGGGACTCCTAGCCGACATCGTGGAAACTGCCTGCCTGGATGGTTTGGGGAATTTCTTCAGAAAGATGTGATGTTTGGGCCGTTCTTTGATGGTTTTTGCATTCCCTAGGGGTCCAGTCGTACCGAACCTCAGGTACGGTGATGTGTTCGACACTCTGACTGTGGGTGCCAGGAGGGTCCAAGTGCCTCCTGAGAAGGTACGTACTTGGATCCTTAGGGATTTGGGTTCCTGTCTGGGTTTGCTCGCGTGTTGATTGGAAGGGGGGTGTGGACCTTCCTCGTGATTTTCCCCAGATCTGAATCCCACCACCATCGCCACGAGGAGTGAACCGAGAGGTGACCATAAATACGCTTTGTGTGGAGAACATTTGTTAACAGACCAAGAAGATCCGGTCAGCGGATACCTGAGGAATCAAACCAAAGGCAGAAAACAAGGGATGCGGGATGGAAGTGTCTTTCGGAAGAGGGTAGACTTCCAAGCCATCTATATACCTGGAAAAGACTTGGGTTTCAATGTGGTTTCATGGATGTTTGACAGATTTTGCTTCAGACAGGAACCGAAGATGTTGAGAGGCTTCCTGTGTGGCTTCCACGTCTCCCACCGCCGAGGCCTTGGGCACGGCGGACAGTAGCGGCCTGCGCCTCACGCGGGGCTTCGTTCGGGAGCTACGAGTGGTCGGGTCGCCTCAGTGGTTCGGGCGTTGAGAAACCTTCGCGGCGACGCCGAAGCGGTAATTTCTCGTTGTAAAAGGCTATCCTACAAGTCAATGACCTCATGAACTACTGGAGTTGGTCATACAAGTTCACACTATTCAAGAAGGTAAAGGACCAGGTTTTACTGGGTCTTTGGACTTGTAGGGGCTATTTTTTTAGGTGAAACTTCTACCATAAATGCCGAATGGCGATGGCCTCCAACCTAAGAGCGATGGCCTAAAACGCCTTAAGAGCGTCTGCTCAAACGCCTCCCTGCAAAATTGTCTCTTGTGTTCAACCAGGGTGTGCCAATGCAATTCCCATACACTCCATGTATGCCATGTATGCCTACATTCACCCCCCAAACCACCCCAATTGATCGGCAGTCTTATGGCAGTCCCATGGAGCGTCTGGGATTGGTGCAGGTACTACCCATCCTGGTACCAGTGTGGTGTGGTTGGACCGATCTCTGTAGTTGCCAGGATCGAAAGCAAGAACGAGTGGTCCAATGCTGGCGCCAGTCAACTCCATTGTTGGATAAACCATGATACACATGTTCAGACAGTAAAACCCAAACCCAGGAACTTCCTGGTAGGATTGCTGCAAGGAACAGATTGGCGGCTGCCTCTCCATATTGCCCCTCTGTCGAATTTTGAGCTGGAGTAACGAGGTATACTTAAAGCTTTGTGATGCGCATGATGCTTGTGCAGAGAACCCTTCTTGGTGGATGTTCATGTCATGTCTTGAAGTAGATAGAATATGAGAAATTTCAAAAAGCAATGGAAGATTGTTCTTGTGTTCGGATTGGTATATACCATTTGCTGCAGGATTGTATTTGTAGGGCGCCCTTTTAGTGTGATAAGCCCTGTCATTGTGTCATTGTGTGGGTTTATCTTCGGCAGAGCCGTCTGGATCCATGTCGAAGTAAAGAATAAATACTACTCATCACACGCGAACGATCTACCCAAATCCATGAAATCGAGCATGTTCAATCCAATTAAAATACCATTTGCAGAGGCAAAAACACATCTGTAAACAACTCATTCAAATGCTGTAAATAACTCATTCAATGCTCCATGAGTAAACACCTCATTCTGAATTTCTGGCGGCCCGGAGTCGGAAACCCACGGATGTGCTCCGGAACACCTCCGCCCGGACCGCCCGACCTCGGACAGGTGGTGCCCTGGAATGCCATCCGCTCGCAGTCGCTCCGCGTGGAGGACGGGCGATGGTCGACCGGTTGGTGAAGAGGTCTGACTGAGTTTCAGGCGACTTCTTGGGTAAGTGGATCGAATTGAGAGAGATAGTCCAGATGGCTAAGTAATATATAGGGATGATGTTCTCCGTTTATTTTGCCCTTCGCTCATCAAGAAGGACGATGGGCTTCCATGCCGGCGTTGACAAATGCCTGTATCACACATGGCGGACTCTGAATGTTTCAATCCAGTACAACGTCACGACCCTTCTGTGATTCAAAACACCCTTTTACTTTGAGCCAATTGGAGTGCAGATTGGGTAAGTTGTCCAGAAAGCACCCGCAATACTATTTGAGGCATTCAAAACCACCTCTTGCAGGGGTCCTGGTGATTATGGGTTGACTGATTGCCATGAAGCGCCTGGCCCACTTGCCCATTTCACCGAACCGTGGGGCTGGCGGTCGGTTTTCTTTGCTCCTTTCTGTATTGAGCAATCTCGTCAACGTCCGGGATCCACACCCACAGCTTGTATGCACACCCCGGATCCGGTCAACATGACGACCCGCTGCTCCTCCGAGGGACCCATGTATTCGCTCGCGGCGTGTTGAACCACACGACACCGAGAGCACCGAGCAGCGAGACGACCCGCGCATCACCGAACGTCCCAAGGATCCGGGGCTCAAAGAGGATGGAATTATGACCGGTCCAGACTGATCCGAAGATGCTGGGTATCTAGCTCGCGGTATGGTTTTGAACCTGAAAGAGTCGGCAATCAGTGCGCCTGAAAGAACACTGCAAGGCGAATCATCCACAAGAACAGACCGGAGCCTGGATTTGGACCCAAATTCAAAAGAAACGGCCTGAAGGAACTGCTCCAGAACAATCCACTGAGGCTTATGAGGCAAATTGACGTAGGTGCGTGCCATAGTGTTTGATCGGAATTCCAAGCAAAGCCAAGGGAGGCCGAAGCCACAAAAGCGGGTTGAGAATCAACCCCGAACAACCACAAAGCGACTTGTTCTGCCAATTGCCTTGGTCCATCTTAGTCCCATTGTTAAGATCCACTTCAACACAGACTCTCATCCATTCGCCCAGCACCGCGGAAAAAGAACAGCACCGCACAAACGTCTAAATCGTCCAATCACCCGACGCGCGAGCCTCGTTGGACGCCATGGACGTCCAACTGCACCGATTGGATTTGTTGCAATGCGGCGCCTTGCAGCCTGGCACTCTGGAAGTCTTGCCCGTCGGGAAAAAGAAGCAGCAGAAGATCGCGGTGGGGGATGACAGCGGGGTCCTACAGGTCTTTTACTTGAAGAAGGGAGAGGCGCTTCTCCGACGTCGGCGGCCGGGTCTTTCGCGCGCCGGTGCGGTGCGGGACTCGCCCTGAAGTCGTTTTCAACTCAGGGGGGCCGGATTGGGCAAAGAGGTGGAGGTTTTGAGCGAGACCACTGCTCAGATCTCTGAAGCAATGATAACAAGGCATAGACACGTTGGCAGAACTTGTTAAAGAAAACAACTTGGCCTGGGAGTCAAAGACCATTAAAACAATGGTTGACCTGGTTTTTGTATTGTAAAATCCTTAGTTGATTGGGTAAAGCCTATTAAATTAATGGTGATTGGAAGAAAAGAACTTGGCATCATCATTTTCAGCATACTTGGTCTTGCGGCTGTCTTGGAATGCGATGGCATGCGCGGATCCATGAGATATTGTGATCCGGATCATGGTTACTTTCCAGCAAACAGAAAGTCGATCAACTCACATGGCTCACATGAGAAGAGTAATGAAGAGAAGTAAACTCACCATTTGTCACCCTTCTTCACTCATGTTTCACCAATTCTCTAGCTCCCTTCTACCGCCCTAAGCCACCACTCGTGGCAGTTGTCTAAGCTCACTTCTCCCGTCGTTCTCCGCGCGTCCGGCAGGTGCAGTACGAGTGGAAGTCTCCGGCACTGGGGCGAGAGATCAGCTCCGTGGTGATGCAGATGGCAAAGGATAAGATCTTCGTGGGCTGCGGCCAGTCCATCCATGGCTTCACACGGAAGGGCAAGGAGTGGGAAGGGGAGTGGGAGGATGGAGGGTCGGGAGGTATAGGCCATACCGTAGACATCATGACACTAGCAGATGAAGAACTCCAAAAAATTGTCCCTCCTATAGGATGGAGGGTATTTGTTCATGTGTTTTCACAATGCTGGATCGAAGGTAAGGTGATTGAATTTGTCCAATTCTTGACGCTGCTGGCTTTTGCGTACTTATGTGAAGTTCGCTAGTTTTTCACGATGCCCACATCAAGTTCAACGCATGAAGCATTTGTTGTGGCTTCCTCTTGTCATGGTCCACATGAATAGAAATATACCCAGATGCTCCGTTCACCGCCCTTTCCCGCTCCCGAACCAAACTGGATTGCTTCGTTGCTTCCCAGACCCCTCCGGTCCGGATTCGGGTCCGACCCCGATTCGGGGCAAGGGGGGTGGTGTGACCTGGGTCACATCAAATTACCCCCCCTACAAGTCCAGTCTGACCCAGTAAAACCTGGTCCTTGACCTTCTTGAATAGTGTGAACTTGTATGACCAACTCCAGTAGTTCATGAGGTCATTGACTTGTAGGATAGCCCTTGCGAAGGGGCCTCCACCGAGCGGACGAGCTCGTGAGGAGTTCGTGAAGATCAAGACGAACCTCACCGAGACGATTCACCATTTGTTCGTGGAGGAGAACATGATTTGGACTGGAGGAGAATATATCCTGAACATCTATGACAACTGCAAGGACTATGGCTTCGTCACCTGGAGAAGCATGAAAGCATGACAGAATGAGGAAGTCTTCAACATATATGTTTGAATAACATGTGGCGGGTCTTAAGATCATCACTTCCCACTCGCAACAGTTGGTAGAGAAACACGCATAGAATGCATAGAAATTATCCACCATTATCCACCCATTTTGAGTCACACTGAGTTGATTCCCTTTCAGATGCAGGGGGGAGTCAAACCCTTGGATTCCAGACGAGCCAGGAGTACCCAGTTAGCACCCAGGAGTTCACTGGATGTTTTGCAGGTCACGTTTTTTTGGGTGGGACTGGGGCAAGCCCATTTGACCCATAAACAGGTTGACCTTGATTGGTGAGTGACCCACCTCACGATACATTTTTGGCGGCTTGATCAAGTGAAGAAACACCCCTGGAGGGAGGATGCTACGAAATGGACATGGAAGGGCTACTCGAAATGCACACATGTGTTCTTGTCTATTTAGTGTTGGCATGAACATCCTGCCAGGACAGACATTCCCAGATTCTCGATTCTCCATTTTCCCTCTTTTCTTTGCCGCTCTTCTTCAGACACTTCCCTATTAATACCGGAACCGTGTTCGTGTCCTTTTTCCCGGGACCTCGGGGTCCTTCCATCCAGGTCATGACGAAAGATCGAATCAACGACCTCACCTGCGCTCCGGTGTATCCGGGAGAGATCCTCAGCACCATCGTGGCCTGTCAGGAGAGGGCGGTGGAAGCGGCGACCGCTGTTTCATGGGTGATCTGCGGTGAAGCAATCCCGAGGTCGGTTGGTTCTTGTAATCAGTGTGGTTTATGGCAGCTGGTTTTCTCATGTTTTCTCATTATTCCGTTTTTTTTCCTTCGGACTAGCAACAGTGCAGCAACCAATGAAGCTACAGGTAGTGGTACTTTCTTGTTCAGGGACCTCACTCAACAACGACAGAGGTATTTGTTTGGAGCCTCGGCGTCGAAGAAACGTTGAAGGGGGGCACATAAATATGCACCAAGTCCCGCAGGGAGACACGCGAGGGAAATCCAGTTTTGAGCACTCATAACATCTCATAACACCATGATCATAGAATTTAATCGTTGAACATGTCAGTAGTTGTAACACACAAAACTGGAATAAGCTGGATCTAGTGCTGGATCAATTTTTATTTAATTAACACATTCTGACTCAGTCTGACTGCTTTGCCGCGGTGGTTCCCTGTCTCCGTTTGAGCCAATGGGTTTGAAAGCATGTTGAGGTTAGAGAAGGTATCCATCCAAGAAGGTTCAGACTTCAACAAAAGCGCTACTAGTAACAAGGGCATTACTACTAGTAGTAACAAGTTGTTTTTCCTCCTCCTCCTCCTCCTCCTCGTTTTCGCCTTCCAAGCAGGACAAATGCTTAAGAGTCTTCCAGGGAGAAAAGGTCTTTCACGAGTTCGCAGTGGAAGGTTCGGCGACTGCCTTGGGCTTTCATGGCCTCAGCCTCTTGTCTAAAAAGGTGAGATGCCTTGTCTAAGCCGGTCATTCGAAGACTGAATAAACTGACAGCATTGGTCCAAATCCCCTGAATAGAACCGCCATATTCTGTGAAAAGCAATCGGACTCTTGTGTGTTAACCTCAGAGGGCATCCGTGAGCTATTCGATATCCCAAAAGTCCTGCGGCAGGGACCATTTCGAAACGGATCTACATCCAAGCCATGGTAGCTCAGCTTCCTGCACAGCATTCACTGGATGTTTGGTGGATTCACAAGAGAATACAGAGCCCATAGTATAAGCATGTATATATAAGCACAAAAGTATGATGATAGTAAGTGACTCGTACCAACATAAATATGTTGTTGGTGTCAATCACAATAAGCGACTGATTATAATATGTTTGTTGGCAATGATCAACCATCATGATAATCATAACTTCAAGTGATTCTCCCACGGTGTCACCCAAATTTCACTCGGTGTCATCATGATAATCAAAACTCGGTGTCTCCCCATTCTCGCTCAGTGTCACAATGATCCCACAGTGACAGTGTCACCCAAATGTCAGGGATTCTTTCCTTCATCTCGAAAGGGACAACAGCGGCGAACGTCACACGTGACAGTGACAGTGTGGGTCGATGGCTCGCCGTCGCAGTGACGATCATCGGACGTATCGGTACCCAGGTCCGGTGGACAACCCTGCGCATCATGTGGGAGATCCAGTCCAGATGATCTATGGCACTGAGCAAGGCAGATGATCTAAACACGGCCCGGATGGGCATGGGCTCTCTTCGTCCGCCCCCTCCGTTTCGGTTCGGTGGGACAGGGGTGGGTGACAGGGGGGTGAGCCCTAGGGATAGAAAAGGAAGATCCTGAAATCCGTTTTTGTCTAGTGGAATCAGGTGAGTGGATGTTTACATCATGTCAGTATAGAGTTGCATGATATTTCTCATGTTTTGCCAATGACCGTCGGTCTTTGCGAAGGTGAGCCCGTGTGTCTTTTGGGTGGAGAATGAATTCTATCGCTTCTGACTGCCCGGAGCGGCACGTGGACTTGATGTTGGAGGATCTCCCGAAATGTGTCCAGCCCAACAGAGCTCTGCCCAGCCCGAAACAGAACGTGGAGGATCTTCATTTCTTTCGATGCTTTACTGGACTGGAAAGCATGACCAAAAAAGCCATCTTCCCACCAAACAAAAGCCATTTTGGGTCAATCTAAGGCACACCTCGCCTTCGGAGGTGACCCACGTGATCGGTGATCTTTACAGATCCAAAGCAGTCGACAAAAGAGATGATAGCCTCACATAGACGCCTCACTAGCTGCGCTTGATTGGTTTCTGTGGGTTTGTATCAGTCTATGAATCGAACACTCCCACCTGAAGGAAAGTCTTGTACAACCACCCGGGTGCGAAGTGTTTGGTGGACTTTTGCTATAAAGCACCTCCCCGCAATCTTTGATTCTGTAATTCATTAATTTTCTGCCTATGCATGTTCAGTGGAGTTACTATTGACAGACATATCAAAATATGTCAACACCACCATCATTCATCCATTCTTCGTGTTAGGTTGGAGGCCATCGCTAGTAGGTTGGAGGCCATTGCTTCTAGGTTGGAGGCCATCGCTAGTAGGTTGGAGGCCATCGCTTAGTAGGTTGGGGGCCATCTCTACTTCCCTTTCCGGCACCTGCACCAGGCGTGGTGGGCCTTTGTTCTTTGGATGCCAAGTCCATGCGCCGCACCGGCGGCGTCTCCGACCGGCAAAACCGCCCGGGCGTGGGCTCCGGCGCTTCGTCGCGGCGCCCGCGGGTGTGCTGCTTGCACACGGCGGATGTGGTGAAGAGCGGGGCCTTGGAATCTTGGGCGTTCAACAAGGTCGGAATCATTTCCCAGACACTCCATGTATCCCAGACACTCCATGTATGGTATATATATGCCTACATTGGGGTGGTTTGAGGGGTCAATGTAGGCATATATGGCATATATGGAGTGTATGGGTATGGCATATTTACATCCATTGACCCCAGGTCAACCACCCCTGGCCTGATCGGTAAATATGCCGATCCCATGGAGTGTTTGGGTTTGTTGGGTCCTTGTTTTCAGGGTCAAGTTGGTGTTGGGGTCTTTGCACTTGACGGTATGTGGAGCAAATGTCATGTAGAACTTCTAAACTCTGGGACTCTGTAGACAACACCTGTAGACCATTGCCATACCCTAAAGATCCACATGCCCTCTGAGGTACGGTCATTGGACCCGACTTTAGCGCCTATCTTTAAGAGAGTCTTCCTGCTTACCGTACCTAAGAGGGTGGCAGTGGATCCCTATAGGGATATTGTCAGATGCAGCTTGATCATCCCTCATGGGACACTCAACTCATCCTTAAGAACTCAGCTTGGTGATCGGATCGCGACCGTGGTCATCGGACGTGATTGATGTGAAAGTCCTGGTTGAGTAATAGTGAGCTCCCGAATGTGGATCAAGGTAAACCATACAGTATGTGGATCATCGGTGTTCCTCACTTTGGGGGGGATTGGAGTTTTCTCCACTCAACACATGAATAGGTGGAACAAAAACTTAACCTCTTACTTGTATGTTCCAGAGTTAAACAAACATCTGGGGAGTAAGAGGTGATGTATTGTTTTTTCCGGATGAAGCTGATCGAATTGAAATCTGGGGTCCAGCATCACCCATGTGTCTAATTCGCAACACAACGATCACAACACCTCAACATGGCATAAGGACATAAGGTGACATATATGACATAAAGCTTATAAAAGCATACAACATGAAGTCTCAAAGTACCTCAGAAACCGATAAAAACCAAGCTTTCCGCTGCCCGGACCGGACCGAGGTCTCGGGTCAAGACGGACCGTCCGTCTCCGCTCCTCCCGTGCGAGGCTCGGGTCCCTCAAGTCCAGTCGATCGGTCAGGACCCGAACCGTTCGGCGATTCCGAGCTTCGGTACTCCGACGGTTTTCCGGTCACGTGGTCACTGGATCACTGGATACCTCTCTGGGGGGCCAGGGGGATGGGGGGCGGCCAGGGGGGCGGCCTCGAAGTGACCCAACTCATCTCTCTAGGATCTCCTCGTGGGGCGTGATGATGGGACCCTGGAGCTCTGGAACTTGGGTGATGCGGCAGCCTTTGCCTCTCAACGACTGGAGCAAGCGCCGACACCCTTGTGGGAGACCTGCTTACAGGTGACCAGGCAGCAACTGGAGGCCGAGCTTTTCTATTTTTGTTTGACCTTCCGCTACAATTAGTAGGTGCAATGACATCAAAGCAATTCAAAGCATATATGTTTTGTTGTTACAAACAAAAACTCTCTACGTTTGTTTGTCCAAAAAAACACATATGTTTTCCATTTGCCCATTGTTTACCCTGTTGCCACTGGCAGTGAAAAGTCTGCCAATCCTAACCTGAAAGTTTTGGACATGCCTCATGAAAACTCTGCTCAGCTTTGGCATGTTCAAGCTCAGCCGGTCCAATTTGGGGAATAGAGCAGGTGTATCCCATTACAACAAACAAAGTCGATCTAAAGACCAGCAGTCACAAAGGGGCGCTTAATGGAGGTCAGGGGTGCCCATTATCCACTCACTTAAGGACTAAACACCACCCCTTTGTGACTCCTGGGATGAACACGTTCTTTTTTGAGATGGAAAGGCCTGCAACCAGGCCCAAATGGACCCTGGGAATTTTCGGATCGATCGCATCGTTGGCTTCTCGATGTGAACCCAGCGACTCGCCGAAAGGAGAGCATTCAGTCCTTGAGCTCCGGCCACATCACCGGTGCCTTGGAAGCCACGGAAGCCACGGAAGCCGGCGTTCACGGCCACTCTTCGTTCCAAACCAATGACCCAAAAACATCCAAAAACCCAACGTATCCTCCGAAGAAGGCCGTTTGACTTGGCATATTCCGCCCCCCAGGGCCCCAGTTCACCGTCTCTTTTTATTCTGAACTGCAGCCGGTGCCGCAGAACTGCGAACCTTCGTTTTTCAGCTCATCACTCTCCAAGAGCCACCCCTCCGCCCGGCGCGGTAAGCTGCTCGGCTCGAGCGCTTCCAGCGCTTGAGCGCTTTCCGCCAGCGCTTGGGCAGGTGGCGACTACATGGAGGTCATCTTAGCCACTTACAGCGGAAAGGTCTTAGCTTTCACTCCAAGCGGCGCTGCTCGAGATCCCACTGGGACACAGATGGCCAAGCAGGAAGAGAGGGAAGAGGCTGGGGCATCCGTGACTTGGCGCCATTGAGGAACCCGAGGGGAGACATGTTACAAAGGGTTTGTTTACTGTAATGTGATGTTTCATGTGTCTTTTTATTTGGGGAGGCTTTTTTAATGGGTACTCGGGATTACAAAGGGCTTGTTTACTGTGTTGTGTTGTTTTTGGGGTGCATTGTAGCATTAGTGCTCATTGCCATGATCAAGGATTCGTTTGATTTGAGCAAACATGCTTCTTGAATCAGAACGTGGCCCAGGTTGCTTGCGTTCAACTGGACGGATCGGAGCAGTGGCTATAGATAACACCCACATTTGGGTTTACATTGTGCATCATGGCATGGTGCATGAAGTGTCTTTGTTTGCGGCATGTGTCTAAGTGATTGGGCTGTTCAGACTTAAACCTCCAGCAACCCTTCAGGGCAACCAAGACAGCTCTGGACGGGGGAGTCTCAAAGTACCTCGGAAAATGGGTACAAGTACCTGTATTTTTATGGGGTCACGTCCCATTTTCTAATGTACTTGAAGTCGGGTCCAGGTATATAAATCCAACCATTGGGATCAACCATAAAACAGCCATGGGGGAGATGGCAGTGTGTCTTCTACTGGCCGTGAGCTCGTCAGTCGTGTCCAGAACGACTGCGGTCGACCCCGTGCACAGGCCGTCAATTCGCAGATCATCCATATACGTTACCCTGGGAGTCAAAGACCATTAAAACAATGGTTGACCTGGTTTTTGTATTGTAAAATCCTTAGTTGATTGGGTAAAGCCTATTAAATTAATGGTTGTTGGAAGCCTAGGGGTTACATACAACTATGATGTCTTACTCTAGTCATGGGTCATGCACCTATTAAATGGGTTTCGGGTCAGGGTTACTATCGTAGTTACTACTCATATTCATTCCTATTCTAGATGCTAGATATAAGCAACTTTGGGATAGATCCATTGTTTGGGATTGTTAATAATTGTTTTTGTTCTTTGCGGGGGCGTGATCTTCGATTGTGCATTGACTGTCGATTGACACACACTTTTTGCTCATCATCCTCGTCCAAATATATCCTATAAGCTTTTAGGTATACCTGTCATTCCCAAAAAACTCATCATCCCCTAGGTCTTCTGCCTATAAACTCGTCAACCCCCTGACACATCCTTCTGATTAATTGTTCGGGATTTGGGGCTCCCACTCTTGCAACATTTCACTTCAAGACGGTGCGTTTTCTTGTTAAACATTGCAGAGCTTTGAGAAGGATGAAGCGACGGACACCTCATATGTGATATGTCATGATTAATACTACGTTTGAATTACATATATATACATTGACGATGTTCCCTGCTTCATGCACCATCTCCCTCTAAGCGGGGCTCCCCCAAAAGCGGACCGAACGGCCGACCGAAACAAGCCGAAACCGCGCAGCGTTGGATCCATCCAGCTTCGATTGAGTCCACGGCTCCAAAGTGCCATGATCACTATCTGGCCTTTACTAACTATCATCCTCCAATAATCCAGTCGTACCTCCTCAGGTTCGGTATGACTGGACCCGACAATGGCACCCACCACCTTCTCAATCTTCTCAGAGGGTACTTGGATCCAGAGGGAATGTGTATTTTGATCGGAAGATGATCCCTAGTTTCATTGACACCCATCTTAGAAATACTAAGCATCATCTATGCATGGTTCATGTAGACTCTTGATTCAACAAAGGCAACCCCCAGGCCTGAAGAGGTTTTCAAAATCCATCGGTCCATCCGTGATATATACCCATCCATTCATCCATCGTCCAGGTGATGTCCAGGATGGTGAAAGGCACCAAATCCTCCGTGTCTCGGAACTGGATGTCCATTGACTGTTGGGTCCGGGGTGGTGACGTTCCACAGCCATGGGCGCCATACAGGACGCCGGTTTCCCATGGACCTACTGACACCAAGAAACCTTCGGTTCGCTTCGCTACGAGTCGTAGACCCGGCTCCGGATCGGTAGGTATCCGAGTGCGCAACAGCTCCTTCGAAGCACTCGGTATGTCAAGTGGCATGGCATGGAAGTGTCCCAGGGGTTCCAAACATGCGGCCATGTTCGAACGGAGAATGTCGGACCATGTCAGGGATATGTAGACTCAGGCTATACTGTATAACCTTTTGGGACCAACACTTTTGAGAAAGAATCCCTGGAAACGTCGAGCTTTGTCCGACCGGATGGTGTGTAAGTATGTAGTTGTTTCTTTTTCTTTCAGGACCTGGAGCAAGCTGAGATGAAGCAAGAGCGCAGTCGAAGGTTTCAAGCCTTGGAGCAGGAGGTGGCCAGACTCAAGGCTCCTCGTCTGCCGTTTCAGATGTTCCGTTCTGAGCTCCGCTGCCGCTCGAACGCTCCGGGCAACGGGTTCACGTAATCCTGAGGCGGAAATGGGTGGGTTTCCCTCGGGTTCCTCGGTTCCACCTGGAAGATCAGGACATATCGAATCACAGTTTTTTGGACTACCCCCAAACCATCCAGGTATATCATGTAACATAATACTTATACTCACCCTAGGGATCCAGTCGTACCGAACCTCATGACAGTGTCGAACACATCACCGTACCTGAGAAGGTACTATAGGGGGGGATAGCGGTCATGACCCACCTCTTCCGGTGGCGGTGGGTACCCACCTTCCTGGCATCCGGGTGCGACCCACAGACATGATGCTGATCCATCGGAGGTCTTGTCTTGCGATTCTTGCTGGGTCCAGTGGTCGTCGTCATTGGTTTGGATGATGCGGGATCAGAAAAAATTCAACAATGTTTGTCTCAAAACTGAAAACACTGTGCCTTGACCACTGTTTTGACATACTTTGCTCAAAAGCTACACCAGTGCTGCACTCGATGGGAATCTTGGAATTCAGATCGGAGACACACATGTTGCAACGTGCTGTAAAAAGTCTATGGTTCTGAGAAAAAGGATAGACTACCAGCAGTCACAAAGGGGTGCGATCCATGGAGGTTAGGGGTGCCCACTATCCACTCACTTAAGGACTAAACATCACCCCTTGGCATTCTTTCTTATTTCCCCACCTCCCAAGCAACCCTCCACTCTGATCGTCCGTTTCCACCCGCCCTCGGCTTCCCTCCCTCCCCCCCCAACCCACGCGCCTCCACACGTGCGCCTCCGCCGGTACGCGCCTCTCCCAGCGCCTCTCGCCCGTGAGGCAGAGACCGACAAGGCTCGGAAGGACTATCAGAATTTGTCCTCCGAGCAGATTGCCATGCAGACCACCACCAAGGTCTCGCACCGTTTTGGCCTCACCAGCAGCTCAGCGAATTTCACACAGCAGCACCCGTTTATCCAGCGGGCTTTGGAATGGTTTGGGACCCTAACAATCCATGTGACTGGAATATTCACCTTGTATATTTCCTTATATATTGACCCTCAAAACCATCGTAGTGATGGGCTGGTTTGGTCAGGCGAGCGGGTGGCGAACCTGAGTGAAACTGTTTCAGCGATTTTTTCAGACGTCACAAGAAGGGCGCAAACGAACTTTGCCCTAGGGCTCCAACCATATCCTCAGAAGGTGGTTAAGGTGGTTAGACCCCCCAAACCCACCCCAACCACCTTTTCAGGAGGTATGTGGAGCCCTAGGGTTTTAAAGGGGTTTGATGACCGGAGGAGGAGCGGGTGTAATCGGACAGGTCTTGTTTTTTTTTTCCGGTGGAGGGTGGTGGACATGCAGCGATGTCTTCGGCTTCAGAGTTTATATATACAATGATGCCTTGGAAGCTTTTAGAGGGATCAAAGAAATTGAACAATACCTTCCAGTATTCTGAATTATAGACTTAGAGGTATCATGCAGATGTCGCTGGGATCCCGGCAAACACGCAGTGCTTCCATGGCGAGTGTTCTCCGTGGTTTCTCATGTCAATGTGGTGGGTCAACCGATCAAGGAAGTGCACATCGACACCCGAATCGACGCGAGGTCGATTGGTCAACCTGCTTGTTTGTCGGTCAACCCAGCTCTTTTTGGTCCGGATGTGTAAACTTGACCAGAGCCAAACATGATGCATGTTGTGTTCTCAATGTCTTGCTTGAGCCAACTGCACTGCAACCATTGTTTCTTCCCATACAAAGGAAAACAGGGTTTTCCTGTAAATGACACAAAAGGCTGCTGGACGAAAGTCTGGACTCCACCGCCCAACCCAGCCACTCATGTCTCTACTCTCAACGGGTGAAGAGTTCAGCCCCGACATCGAGTAGTTCTACGCAAGACTTAGCTTCAAAAAGCACTCCCCAACTGTCAACCTTCCATGCAGCCCCCCCGACAAAAGATGCATGAAAGACACCACTCAGGTGAGGAGGCTTGTTACATTCTCACCTTGGAGTCGCAAGCTGCCATCGAGCTCATCGCTCTCAGAGCTGATGTCGAAGTGGAGCCCCGGCGTGTGATGTCCTACGGCGGTTGTGTCACCGACGACGGTATGCAGACTGATCCATCGCGGGGGAAATTCATTTGATTCCTTTCATGGATGAGGAGGTGCTGTTGAAACAATAGCCATGACTCATGACGCATCTTGTCGAGGGATATGCATGACGCTTTTGTTGCCAAGTACAGAGAGCACTGCAACAGCGGTGTTCACTCGAAGTGTGGTAATTATTAACTTGGCAATTTGGAGACTATTATAGCGTTAAGAGTCGTCAAGAGAGCGGGTCGTTTCAAATTGTCCAGGCTAGTAGTATGAGTATATGAGTACTATGATTTCTTTGGCATGGGCCGTGGCGGAAGTTCCATCCCAGGTTAGCCACAACCGGCACAACCGGCAAGCAGTGTTTGTAGGAGATGAGTTGGAATTTAGTGATCGATATGGAGTTATGATTTCCGCTTGATGGAGAAAGCAAAGCCGACTTTCTGAAAGATCAAAAAGCATCGGAAACCACGTGGAAAGCATCGGAAACCGGGAGAACCAATTCATACGTCGTACAACCAACCAGCACCACACCAGTTCGGGTGGTGAGGAAAATACATGGTCAGGAGCCAAGGGTATCAACTAGCTGGTGCTCCGGAGGGAGCTAAGGATAGGGGTACGATGGGAAAAGTCCTCATTGAGCCCGGGAGCCGTTCGGAGCAGGTCTTTAGGTGCCAGGTACCTGTACCTGGGGCTACCTGTTCGGGAGCCTGGACACCTGTCCGGGTTGTCCATCAAACCACCCTGCTACTCCGTGTGTGCTAGTCCAGTGAATCAGTAGGATTGCTTGGTGAACTCGCCGCTGTGATCTCCGTTTTGTCTCGACGTTTGGTGGGGCCGAGCCCATTGGTGGGGCCGCCCCGCGCCGCTTCTGAAGAAAATCGAATCTGAAGACGAGACTCTGCAGACCTTCGGATTGGGGAATTGGGGTTTCCCCCCACCATGTTGGTAGAGTCAGGTGAAGAGCTTCTTGCTACTTAAATAGTAATGGCCTCCAACCTACTAGCAATGGCCTCCAACCGCTTCTTGCTGCTACCCAGACGCGCTCATGGGCCCTCAGGACGGGTCTGGAGTCTCAAATCCCTATAGGTTTTGAGGGACCATTCGGGCTGATTGGAGCGTTTGGGTAGTAGTAATGCCCTTGAACTCTATAGGTGAAGTTTGCTTCACCCTGGATTTTCCAACGGAAACCCTTTGATATTCCGAACACATGACCTAAACCACCTGAGCTTCGGGAGTGGAGGAAGACCCAGCCTTAGCCCGACTACACCAGCTGTATTGTGGCGGTTCACCTTGATGTTCCTAATCAGCTTCGAAAGTGAGACTCTCTCCCTGCAAAGCGAAACCAGGATCTATTGGATCACAGCGGCACGTCAGCGATTTTGTCGAGATCTCGAGGGGATCCACAAAATCCCTTGCTGGCCTATTACAGGAGAGGAACCCAACATGCGGCCTGGCGAAGGTAGCAAAAGTGGTTGTTCCATAATGATCTCTGAAGCTTGAGAGTGGGAACAAGATGACTTTCCTTGAAGGCCGAAGGAAGGCAAGAACGAAGGAAACAACTTTTGGCTGTGGGGTTGTTGCACAAGCACGTAACAAGCTACTAACTGATAGGACTAACTCAGCTTGGTTGAACGATTGTTCCTCTTCCTTGAATGCTTCTTGAATGCTTCGGGTCAAGATGAACGTCCACTGTCATGGCTTGCGCACTGTCAGACAGCGTTTTCGCGCCCGCAGGATGCAAGAAGAAGGCAGCCGCTTTCAAATCCGCATGCGTCGCTGGGCAAGTCGCTCGAGTGATGTCGGTGTGCTGTTTACTGTAAGACTGTGTTTCACATGTTCTTTGACTGGCCCATAGGGTCCAGGTACCTCCTGAGGATGGCCTTGGAGGTGAAAGTACTTCCTGAGAATGGTCTTGGGGGGTCAAAGGACATCCTCAGGATAGTCCTGGACCCTTAGGGTGGATTCCAGAGTCGCACCACGTAATGAAGGAGTGGACCGTCTGTGAACACGATCGGAGTGCTCAGAACATGATCGGGATCGGACGATTCCGGCCGTGGATGTTTTTGTTCCCCGCCCATGTCGCCCATTTGGAGAGGAACATTGAAACATATTGAAACCCTCATACTTTTCCCATCGAATTTTCCCTCAGTGGACCAGCCGTATACAAATCATATACCAGGAGTCTCAGCTCGTACCTCGGAGTCACAGTCGTACCTGTTTTGGGGTCATGTCCCATCTTCGGGTCCAGGGATCCAGTCGGGTCCAGGTACCGAAGCAGGTAACGAACCCAGAGGCGACCCTGGACCCGAACCAACTGCTACATGTTGGTTCGGTCCAGTTCACCCTGGGTGTGAGGGTCAAAACCCTACCGAACTGAGGGTCCTTTCTGAGCCTTTGGGAAGTGGAAAACCCACTGTTTGTAGAGGAAAGTCCAAGGGATCCAGTCGTACCGAACCTACGTCGGGTTCCCGTCGGGTTCGGGTGGACCGCCCCAGGAGACGGTGGACGGGCACCGTCTCAGGTGTCGAGCACGGCTAAGACGGCTCACCGACCCTACGTAGGGCTTCAAAGACCTGCGTTTCGCTTCGGTGGGTGGATTTGGGAGGTCGAAGACTACCGGTCACCGGAGATGGGGGCGTTCTTGAGCCCAGAAACACGGTGCTGGGCCCCGAGGTACCGTGGAAGGCTTAAGCGGCACCTTGTCCGCCTTCGTGGTGCCTGAGACACAGCCCAAGACGGCGCATTTGATCACGGTCTCCATCAAGCCCTTAGCCTTGCACGCACCGCGGCGAACGAAGCAGAGAAGACATGCCTTGTGGCGGATGAAAGATGGGTGAAACACAGAAACAATGTAACAAGTTTGGACATGAGCATGACAAGTCTGGGAGATTATGACATCATTTCTACCTTTTTGTTCCTTTTTGGAATATCCTTCCGGGTTCCGTCCTTTTGTGATCTTCTACGGTTAAGACATGGGCAAATCTGTCCTTGTCTTCCCTTCATCCACTGCTGAAGCTGGGGCACGTTCATCTCAGCTTCTGCAGGTGATATCTTTGACCAAAACTCAACAAAATCACCGAACCCGACCTCTCTGATTCTGATCGATCAGGTACCTCCAAAACAGAACACACGCCCCAAAGTCTTAGTATACTGTGCCCTTCTCTCCTTCCCTGGCCCCCCAAGACAACAAATCTCGACCTCCCCCCCCAAAAACTAGACGACGAGTGGCCCGAAAGCATTTTTCATCATGTAGGAAGTCAGAGTGCGAGTTATCCGGTAAGTGTGCGGTGTGAAGTGTTACGTAGGTTTCCTGCTAGTAGCTAGTAGCTTAGTGGCTTCAGCTAGATGTCCACACGGCATGAACATGTGAAACATGTGACGTGAACGGGTCATGGAGATTCTCGGTTGCGGAGAGCGTGCCCAAAGTGGAGAGATAAAAGGTGCCCATCATGATGTTCGATGATCTAGGTTATCGACATAGGTGGAGTGGAGTTGATTCGGCGAAACGAAACGAAACGAAACGAAACGAAATGCGAAACGAAACGCGAAACGAAACACGAAACTAAACGAAGTCGAGTGAGCTGAGGTAGTGTGTGGGTTTCTGTGCGTGTGTCTATGTCCGTGTGGAAACGAGTCTGCGTATGTGTGTGTTCGTGGAAGTTGAGGGAGTGTGTGGGTGTCTGTGTGCGATGCGGCCTCCCAAACCCCCCACCGGCGGCCAAGCGGTGACAGCCCAGCTCATCGTCGTGAGCATTTGGGCTGCTGGTAAGGGGACAATGGCAGCCAGCGTGCTGGCTGACCCACTTCAACTATGATGGCAGCCAGCGTGCTGGCTTTGCCATCTG